TGTACATATTCTTTTGTCACTATGACATTTTTGCCAATTTTCCTCTCTTCCACCAGGTGGTGGTCTACACCCACCTAAAACAACCATCATTTCTAGTTCCTAGAATCCTAGTGTGGAACAGACAGGTGATTTGTTTGTAGAAGGTAGACTAGATAGAAGATGGTTTACCAGGGCTCTTTGACAGTATGGTAATTATGTTGACTGCAATGGCTATTCCTTGTCAAGCACCTTGCATGTGCCAGACTTTTTTCATGGCTTAGGTCCTGTAATCCCCCACCCAGCCCTGTGATATAGGTTACCATCACCCTACATCACCTCAGAGAGATGATGTGACCTACGTAGGCATACAATTTAGAAGTGAACAAGCTATGATTTGAACCCAAGTTATTCAATTCTAAATGCCAGAGGCTCATCCCACTACACTACACTGTCCCACTGCCCAAGACTCCTACTATGTGCTGGGCACTGGGCAAGGCTTGGAGAATACAAAGATAAATAGGAGCGATCTATTGTATGGGAAGTTTATTATGAGACCTCTCTACTGGGAACCTTCAGGGTGAGATTCACATGGCCCCAGAGACTAGCACAGAGTTTGGCGCACAGTGAGCTCTCAGCTAATGTCAGCTGAATAAATGAACGGACTACACCAGATTGTGCAGGAAGCAAAGCACTTCAGTCTTCTATTTTGTAGTCTGTAGAAGAGACAGATGGCGGAGGACAGAGGATTTCCTGATGAGCTTCTGCTTACCCTATTAAGGTATCCAAAGTGTACCCATCTTTGGGTCTGGTAGCTCAACTACTCTGGACCGAAGGCCTTCTGGCTTTGAAATGCAGATATTCTATGGATGGTGGTTTAGGGCTATCCTTCCATAAGTGTTTGAGTCTTCATTTACCCCAGTGTTTATTAACATTTTTGGAGTCTTGTACACACTAGAGAATATATAATAAATGTTATGGGCGCTCTCACCTTTTAAGCCTGTACTTTGGATACTGTTTCCAGGGGTTCCTGGACTCCAGGTGATAGCAGCCTCTCAGCTCCTCTCAGGCCACGCTTGGACTGAGATGAGGATGGCTCCCACCTCCCCAATGAGCCTGCACCTTGTTCTACCTTCCCATCCCTCGGATAAGCTGTGTACAGTTTTATCCAAGGGAAGTCTGAATATTGCTGAATTGACTTTTGTTAGTAACCACATTCTTTAATGTTTATATTTCTAACATGTACCCTAGCAAGTGTAAAAATCAGCTGTGCTCAGTGTTGTAAATTCAAAGCTGCCCTCATTTCAATCCCTCAACAAAATGCCAGAAAGATTTTCCTGTCCTTTTCATTAATGGCCAAAATAAGATTTTGCGGCTCAGCGCCTGTGGCTCAAGTGGCTAAGGCGTCAGCCACATACACCTAAGGTGGTTGGTTTGAATCCAGCCCGGGCCCGCTGAACAACAATGATGGCTGCAACCGAAAAAAAATGGCCAGG